TTGCCTTCCATAGATACTGCATCAGTGTCTGTCTCTACCTTTAAAACCAAACTACGGCAAAGCCACTCTCTGTGTGAAATCTCTAGACTCTCTGTATACCACAAGCTGGTAGGAAGGTCCAGGATAAAATAATTGTTGGTCCAGGAGTTCTATGCACCCGCATGGAACATAAGGAACAAAGAAAGTGAAAATTCAGCATGTTATAGAATTTTATATAGTGAAAAAAGAGTATAACAAAAATAAACTTAGAAAAGTCAGTTAAGAGAAAGAGAAAAAAATCCACCCACATATATTTCAGTGTGTTTCTGTTCATCACTGCAGGTGATGCTCTCAAATGCATGTGAACTAGGCTGAGCAAGTTTTATCATGCCTACGTCCATGGGAGAAACAGTCCTGAATAGGTTAAGGGATAAATAATTGGCAGAGCCAGGAACCAAGGGCCTCTTATTCCCTGATGCATGTGCTTTCTGCTCCTGGTTGCAAGGGAAAGGAGAACGGATGACAATTTTCTGTTTTGATTTGCTTTGCAAAGGCCCATGATTACTTTCATCACGAAATTGGACTGGGTGTATCTGAGTTATAAATCAGCCCAGCTCTCTCAAGAGCAGCCTGACTACAGGCAGCCCACAGTTGGATTTCCCGGAAATGTCTGAAGTTAGGTTTAATAACTTAGATTCTTTAGCAAGGAAGCAGAAGAAAGAGGGCTTATTACAGAATGTTCTAGGTTTATCCTTCTCCGGAGTTAAAATGTTCAAATACAGTCTTATATTTGATTTCATCTTGTAATGGCCCAGCTAATTCCTGCCCTGCTCTGAAAAAAGTGTCTAAGAAAGGGTTATGTTGTAAAACAAAGAACTCCCCAATATCTAGGCAATTTGGTAAGCAGTCTTGACTGCAGAACTTAAAAGAACTCTTCAAGTTCGTCTAAACCAACCTTCATTTTTCCAAATGCGAAAACAGCCCGAGAGAGTGACTTGCTTAAAAATACGATAAAAGTAATGCATTCAATAAAGTGAATTTTCAACATGCAGTCGGAGCTCATCCACGTACTTACCCCATATGCGTGTTGTACAGAAAAGAGAATGAGAATAAGCGACCTGCGAAAAAGCAAAAATGCGGATTAATTTAAACTGTTCTTTTTCATGCAAAACAAACTAAAGAGAAAAAAAGCAAAGGAATTAACTCTAGAAGAAAAATTCTTTTTTAATTTCTAATAGGCTGCTGTCACGAGCTGATTGTCATCGGGACAAGATAGATGTTACCCTCTCTCTGGACGTCATCACTGCATTTCCTCTTTTTAACCGCTCCAGAAGTACTCACACCCCTTGGCGTGGTCCTCGTTGCGCTGGGTACCGCGAGGACACTAGGAAGGGGAGGCTTGGATGCATGAGTGAAGGGACAGGACTCTTAGAATGAAAACTAGAGGAGAGAGGGAAGGAGGCAGCTTTGTCCAGGGACAGTGCAAAGACTAGTGTTTCCTGGATGCTGTGAAGTGGAACCAACTGGAAGGAGGGAAGATGGCAAAAACTGGGCTGGGGAGATGGTCTAGGAGATAATACGAACAAGTAAGGAAAGAGTTAGGTGGTTCAGGATCCTATAAGTGAGTCAGAAATCCAACTGGGGTAACATTATTATTATAAACAAATTTTAACATGAGAGATGCAACCAAAAAAGACTGAATGCTTGTGTCCCGCTGAGATTCATATGTTGAAATCTTGACCCCTCAATGTGATAGTATTAGGAGGTGGGGCCTTTGGGAGTAATTAGGTCATGAGGGTGGAGTCCTCGTGAGTGGGGTTATTCCCCTTATAAAAGGGATCCAGAGGGCTCTCAAGCATCCTCCTCCTACCACATGAGGATGTGATGAGAAGCTGGCAGTCTACAACCCAGATACCCTGATACCCCGATCTCAGACTTTCAGCCTCCAGAACCCTGAGAAATACATTTCCATTGCTTATCAGCCCCCCAGTCTGCGGCATGTGTCATGGCAGCTGGAACTAAGACAAACACTAAACATTGCATACATTAGCCTCTCGCTCACATTTCTCCAGGAGCTTCCACATCCATCCTCTCATTTAATCCTTAAAACAGCTCTGATGAAGTTGGAGCTTCATGTCACAGCATCCCCCTGGATGGGAAGAGAACTGGGGACCAGGCTCGAGCTGGGATTTCCCTGCCATCCTCATCCTCTGCTGCATGTAGAGCCTTCCTCTTTGATGAACATGACAGAAATCTACAGAGCCAGGCGTCTGGGTGAGACCTGGACTAGGAAGTAGGAGCCTGGGGGTGGGTCCAGCCCACACTCCCTGGCCTCCACACTGAAGTCCCCATTCCCTCAACCCTTCTTTTGGAATTCATGACATTTCCAGGAGAGGCCAGGTTGGCATTTCAGTGTCATTCAATTCAGTAACAGAGTAAACCAGAGAATAAAAAAAGGGAACAAACTGTTTTAAATCAAGTTAAAGTATTTATAACTACTGGCGGTTAATCAGGTCCTTATCTCTGAGGACACTTATAAATAAGGACAAGCTACATCTTATAGCAATTTTGGCTTCCGTGTATATGGTCTATTAAAATTGCAGGCAAGGCATGCTTTTTCCACATTTCACACAAGAACAAACGGACTCAGAAAGGTTGGCTAATATGCCCAGAAGGTTGCAGGCAGGATGACTCGAAGGATGCGGCTCAGGACAGATCTGAACCCCCGTTAACGTTCCCTCTCCCCATCCTCTGCTTGTTCCTCCTGCTGCTGTAGATATTTTAAAATAAAACAATTCTTTTCTTTTCTTTAAAAGCAACTCAAAGTTAAGATTACTTTGCAGTTTTCTTCACATCTGCTCCGAATAAATAAGGCTTGGCTGCAGTTCTGAAATAAATTTTCTCCTTCCCATCACCCTCTCTTCCTTCATGGCCCATAAAAATACATGTTCCCAGCTGCAACATGTCTCATATTCTTCGCTAGTTAACCTTTCCCTGTCTTAACTCTCAGCACATGCTGTCGGTAATCTATCAATTTCTTGAACAATCTATCCATTTCTTGCTGCTGTTGACACACGTTACCACAAGCCTGGGGGCTTAAGACAATTCAGATTTATGACCTTATGGTTCTGGAGGTCAGAAGTCTGAAATGGGTCTCACCAGCAAAAATCAAGCTGTTGGCATGGCTGTGGTCCCTTTTGGAGGCTCCAAGGGAGAATCAGTTCCTTGCTTTCCCCAGATTCTGGAGGCAGCCTGCACGTTCTATGGCTTAGGGTCCCTTCCACCTTCAGGGCCAGTGGTGACCAGTTGAGTCTCTCTCCAGCTGCATCCCTCTGATCTCTGCTGGCTCTGTCACAGATCCCTCTCACTCACTTGTCTGCCCCTCTCTGTCACTTCTAGGGACCTTTCTGATTACACGGGTCTACCCAGATAACCCAGGACAATCTTCCCATTGCAAGGTCACCCGATTCACAACCTTAACTTCATCTACAAACGTAATTCCCCCTTGCCACTAACAGAACACAGTCACAGGTTCCAGGAGCCAGGATGTGGACTTCTCTGGGGTCATCAGTCTGCCTCCCACACTCGTGAAGTGCATTGTTCTAACTCTGCCCATGACAGGGACCCCACTGCTGGACACATGGGAAAGTTTTTGCTGTTCGAACTTAGTGGATAGGTAAGCAAAAATCAGTGGCCTTGTGCATCCTTCCAACGGGTGATTACGTAGGGGCAAGTCGGGGAGAGTAGAGAGCATTGGTGTTTAATCATAAAAATGAATCACAGAACGGCATCAGGCATAGTCCATAGATTTCTGGAATCATTTGGCTTTTTGATACATGAAGCATTCAAATAATTTATATCCATAGAACCAACATTTAGGAGAAATTATTAAATAAAAGCCAGTGGTCATACTTAAGGACACTCACCAGGAATCCGTGGCCAAGGGCTTAATCCACCTGAAAGAACACCTTACCAATGCCATGTGCTCTGCTTACTTCATAGTCAAGTCTTGGTGCTTAAAACAAATTCTGCCACTCTTCTCTTCCAGAAGACTCTCGATTACAAGTGAGGTTCTATGTCCTGGGTTTAAACTCTGTATATGTTAAATATAAATAAATCTCTTAAAACATAATATTATGCATTATCATGTTGAAAATAATTACTTTCATTTTTCAGAGTTAGTGATGGGAATATTTCCTAAAGGGAAACTTCAACAGTGTTTTGACACAACAATCCTCAGTGATGGTTAAACTGAGTACATTATCGATTTTTACTCTTAGAAGTAAAAATATTCCCAGAAGTTTGATGCTGTAAATGTATTTTTGAAAAATGAAAAGATAGATGTTTATAATACTTGTATAAAAATTATTGCTTCATTTTGCTAAGCAGAATTTTCTTCTCTTTAATCTTTTCCCTTAAAAATCCAAGCTTAAATTCACTCAAGTGACTTTTTTAAATTTTTTGAAACTAAAAAGGAATCCACTAGTATAGAAATACACTTTCGCATACAGACAGCAAACACATATAAATGTGTTTTCCTATAAAACGGTACAACTGCAGTGGAAACTATTTTGGCAGCTCCTCAGAGAGTTCTACACGGAGTCACCATGTGAACCGGCAATTTCATTCTGAGGTGTGTACCCGAGGACTGACAACAGGTGTTCACATGCCACGTAGACTCAGACACAAACATTCACAGCAGAATTACTTGTAATAGCCAAAAAGTTTGAACAACCTACTGCAACTGATGAATAAGCAAAACATGCTGCATCCGGACAATGGGACACTATTTGACCGTAAAAAGGGATGAAGCACCAATCTGTGCTACAGTGTGGATGCACCTTGAAAACACTACACCAAGTGGAAGACGTCACACACTGGATGACTCCACGTGTATGAAATGTCCACAATACACAAGCCCATTAAGAAGCAGAAACCAGATTAGTAATTATCAGAGGCTGGAGGAGGAGAGAACTGGGAGATACAGGGTTTCTTTTTGGGGGTGAGGGAACTATTTTGGAATTAGATAGTGGTGATTGCTGCACAGCCTCTAAAAACCACTGAATTACAAACCTTCAAAGAGTTAAAATGGTGTGTTTTATTTTGGGAACTTAATCTCAGTTTCAGAAAAAGAAAAAAAATACTTTGACTTAAAGAACTGTATACTTTGATAAAAGATCTATTTGGCTCAAAGAATTGAAATGTCTCATCTTTGAAACTTTGGCTTCTCTGAAGACCTGTACCTGTAAGAGCTGGTAGAGAGAAGGAAACTGGGAGTGTAGAATGTTACAAGCTATTTTTTAATTTCTGGATAAAATCTGGGTAAGCTGACTCACCGCTGTATTTGTAAGAGACTAGTTCTCCAGGCAGGTGGTAGAACGACATTCCATGATAGTTTCAAACCCCAGTGGAAACAGAATCACTTTGGGTACCTAGGTATTTTCCACTCCCCAATCCATCATTTTAGATAGTTTCTCAGTGGTGTTACAGAAGTAAGTCTCAATAAAACAAATGAATGTTTTACAAGGAATATGCAAATGGGTCTGAATCATTCACAATGTATTTAGTATTTTAAACAAACGGGAAGCACGGTCAAAAATAAAAGAAAACCAAAGATACTTGCATTTTAACTCCAAAATAGATACATGATGCAATTAATCTCCACACATATTGCGATAAAGGGTGCATCAAAGGAGAGCTTATCAAAATACAGTGCTGCTGTGGTCACCTTTCAGAGGAAGAATGCCTGATGGTAGCCCTGACACCTACGAATTTCTCAGTACACTTTAATTGAATGGCTGGCTGCCTGGCTAGCTGGCTGGCTGGATGGATGACGGATGGACAGCTGAACCAATCTGCAGAAACCTAACTGGTCTCCCATTATTCAGTGAGTCTTTCCAATGTGAAAGGACATGAATTAACAGTGAAAGGACACTGCTATGCTGGGAGTAGCCAATGCATTTCCATTACCGTGCACTTAGTTACCATATGAGCCCTATGACAACAGGGATTTTTGTCTTTTTTCATTCACAGATTTATCCCCAGTGCCATCATAGTGCCTGGAATACAGTAAGTGCTCAGTATATATTTATTGGATGACCGATTTAGAGAAAATACTCTGTGAACTTTAGAAAATGTGAATCAAATATCTTTAATAGAGGACATAAGAAGAGGGTAATTTTGAATATACAAGAGGAAGTAGAAGAAGGCATTAGAGGAAGTAATGAACCAACACTTACAGAAGACCCTCTGCCAAGAGTCTAGTGACTCTGCTAAGAGTATTGCCCACATCAAGTTACTCGTTTTCACCACAGTTTAGTAAGGAAAGTATCATTCTCGTTGTGCAAGAAAAACAATGTAGGTCAGTTTAAGTAACTTGTGCAAAGTGACAGAGCTGGTAAATGGCAGAACCAGGGTTTCTGGACTCCAGCATGTGTCCCTTCTCCCAGCTGACACCCCAGAGTGGCAGCCTGCAGACTTTCCTGCTCTCCAACTTCCATAAGAATTTTGAAAAACCTATGCACTCCCTCATTCCTTCTTTTTTTAAGTTAACATCTAAAAACTTTATTCTTCTTTTTAAATAGTTGCAAAGTGTATAATTTGGAGCATTGTAAATGGTGAGCTGTAAAATAAAACCACTGCAGCACTATTTTGGATGTAGCCAATAAGTTACACATATAGATTTTCACCATCGTCACTATAAAATACACGCACAGTTTTTAACAGTATTTTCCTTCATGGATTTATATTTATATTCCCCTCCCCCATATATATCCTAGTGTAATATAATTTTATCCTTGAAAATCATATCAATCACCCCACCATACTTCTCTGCAACAAAAATATGTATATAAATTCAATAGTTTTAAATTTCTTATGATCATAAATCTCTTGAGTCTTACAACTTTTTTTCTCCTGGTTTGGCTCATCATTATGATTGTTAGAAGTATGTAATTCATCAAAAATATAAATTTAAATCTTGATAAACAGTTACTAAACATTAAAAGTGAAACTGTCTTGTTAAGGTAGTTGGCAATGGAAGAACTGGGCTTTGGGGTTTCTCAATTAGTTTATTTTGCCCTAGATTAATACTACTTCTCACTGGATGAGACGGGTTCAGCAACAGCCTACTTCTATTTTAATTTTTAAAGCAAGCCGTGAATGGAAGAATTTGTTATACAAAAGCCACTCAATTCTTAGAAGTTCTCTTGAATTGTATACTAAAAGCAATATAGAATTCATCACCAAGAATCAATCCGAATGCTCCACCAACTGATCAAGTCTTCCTTCAATTGTGATAAAAGCAAAAAGTGGGAAACCACCTGGCCCAGAAAGCAGATGCTTTCTGTTCTCAACACCTGCCTTTACCCTCTCCATCTGGCCCCACAAACAGCTCTTGCACTCTGGACAGAGCAGGCTAGTAACATCTGGGATGGATGGGATGGGGGGGAATGGGGTGGGAAAACTGGGTGGGGGAGTGAGGTGGGGGCAATGGGGGTGGGGGAATGGGATGGGGCAGGGGTGGGTGGAATGGTGTGGTGGAAAGGGGTGGGATGGGGAAATGGGGTGGAGGGGAAGGGGGTGGAGGGGAAGAGGGTGGGGAGATGGAATGGTGGGGGAAGCGGGTAGAGGTATGCCTTTCTTTGAAAAGCAGGACTGTTGTGAAAAGGGAGATGAGAAACTGTTCCAAAGGCCCATTTTCAGACAGAACAAGTCTAAGAGCAGTGGCGAATCTAGAAATTGATTCCTTTAATTTTCCAAGCTCCTTGCATAACTCTTAAGAATCTTTCGGTCTCCCAAGGGTACACATACCTCCATTTGAAGCTCTCTGCTTTAGATGAGCTGCCAAAGGTAAAAACAACCGTCTTGCTCACAGTTTTACCTGGAGCAAGCGTCAGATGACTACACGCTCACCCCACGCACCTGTCCAGCCAGAAGACAAGCCACCAAGGAGTCGTAGCAATTTTAGGTCTGTTGTCCTGCCAGGACGCAGCTCCTAGGTCACGGCTAAGCAGAGGCCCATGTGGCTGTTAACCGGACACCATAAACAGCAGTATGTACAGCACTCTACAGTTCACAAAATGCTGCCACACATGGTATTCACACAATCCATGAGAATTCTTTCGTTGCAACTGCCTGTGTTAAGATCAAAAGAACTTTTGCCTCAACCATGCTTTTTGAAAGCACCAATAGAAATACCCCATCACTCAGAACGACATCCCTCTAACCTGTCTTCGCACAAATAAATGGCTATCCAGGATTGGCCAAGGTAGCGTGTTTCCATTGGCGTTCATTAAAAAAGAAAAAAAGCCTAAATGACCCAAATGCTATGTCACTAAAACATCTGCAAACAACAACTTTGGGAGATTGCTTACGTAGGGAACTTTTGCAAAAGTTCTGTCTCTTTCAATGGGCATGCCTTATTTTGCCAACTGTTACTCTCAGGAAGGGAGTGTTGACTGCTGCGGAGTGCGGCATCACAGCTCCCTCAGGCCCCACCTTCAGCCTTTAATTGGGAGTGTGGCCAGGTTTTCATTACCTGATTCTGTCTCCACAAACACTTGTAAGGTTGGGGATAACCACCTGACCCATCCCAGAGCTTGGCTTAGCGACACAGAACTCTGGGCTGGAAGATGCTACAATAAAGTATTCTGAACAGGTCCTCGCAGACAGCTGAAATCAGGACACTGAGAGAAGAAAGGGAGATGAGGGAGGAAGGAGGCATCCAGAAATGCCCTGAGGTCCAGGCAGGCATTAGAAAACTGGGACAAGTCAAGGCTAGGTGCAAGCCGGAGTTTAGAGGAAACAGATAGGCTGAGCCATCATAAACAGCTGTTTCCAAGAGAGGGAAATGCAAAAAGTAAAAGACAGATGGTCTTATGAGAGGATGTGAAACTAGCTCATTCCTGAGAGCATCTGGTAGTCAGTCCCCTTTCCTGGAGCAGACTGACCTGTGCAGCCAGGTCTGACAGAAAGCACTGCCCGCACTGCAGCTGGTCCCCAGGCTGGGACACTCCACAGCGAGCTCATCTGGAGACTCCTCCCCTCCACCCCCAGCAAGGACGCTGAACGTGAGTGCCCTGGGCCTTTGACGTCTGGCTCACTCACTGACCT